GAACCGTAGCGCAGTCCCATCTTGAATTCTTGATCTCTTCAGTTAAAAGGATCATGTCAGAGACTGGAGTGGGAGAAGAGAACAGGTTGGATAGCTCATTGAGTTCAATGTGGCTGGGATTCCCCACTGTGCCTCCTTTAGAACAGGGCCGGTCTGGGTGGCCTCGGATAAGCTGCACAATCCTAGGGCACCCTCAGAAGAAAAGAATGCTCAACCGCATCTCACCACACCAGTCAAGGAAGAGAATACTACTGGGCTCAATGGATCAATAATGGGACTTCACAGAATAGCTGGCTGCGCTGGATCGGATCAAAGCCTTGTTCATGGCAGCCTTTGGTTTCCACCGCCACCAAGGAGCTGTCCACGAGGCAGCGCAAAGCAGGAAGGGCACCTGTGCAGTGCCCTCAAACCTACCCTTCGGCATCAACCAGCATTCAAAGGCTATATACTACTGGGCTCAATGGATCAATAATGGGACTTCACAGAATAGCTGGCTGCGCTGGATCGGATCAAAGCCTTGTTCATGGCAGCCTTTGGTTTCCACCGCCACCAAGGAGCTGTCCACGAGGCAGCGCAAAGCAGGAAGGGCACCTGTGCAGTGCCCTCAAACCTACCCTTCGGCATCAACCAGCATTCAAAGGCTATCGTGTCGCCTCGCTCTTTTTCGTCCCGAAAGTGCCGCAGAGCGCACAGTGCAGCACAGCAGAGTCGTTAAAGGGCAATACGAGGATTAAGGAGGACTTGGGTTCAAATGATGCCAGCGAGGATTAAGGAGGACTTGGGTTCAAATGCTGCCAGGAAATGCAATGGATCAGTTCAGGCCAGTTCCATTCTCGGTGGCTGTGTGTGTGTGTGTGTGTGTGTGTGTTTTGTGTTGTGTTGTGTTGTTGTGTGTGTGTGTGTGTTGTGAGCAGAACCCCGACAAGGCGCAGCGGGGAACCAAATCCTCCTCTGAGGAAGCGCAGGAGAGAAATATATATAAAAAAGCACATGTAGAACAAGCAAAAAAAAGAAATCTCCTGCGTGAGGGGCATCCTCATGAGCGGTGATGAGCCCATCCTCGGTGTCCAAAACCAACAACAACGCTTTCTCCTGCTCTCATTGCGGATGGCAGGGACCCCCACGCGTGGCACGGACAGTTTCCCCACAATATTCGGATCAAAGAAGGCTTTCCTTCCATCCACCTTTGGCGAGCAGGCGAGGGAGCGAATAAGAGATGAGAAGGAGCTGCTTCTCCCGACCCAGGAGCCATCTTAGGCTTAGAGAAGATCGCACCTTCAAACCTCCAGGAGATC